GAGAACCACTGCACTAGAGTATGGGTCAGCTACCAGGAGCCACACCCTGAAAGGAAATTGACCTTCCCTCTCCCAGCACCCTTCAACTCTTACTAGCTCCTTAACTAGGCCTGGGAATTCGCAAAGCCCCTCCCTCCGTGCAGGAATGTTGGCTGGTTTGATCTTGTGCAGGCAACCACAGCCGCTATGAGTTCATGAGTTCAGTGGTCTTCTCATGCCCAGAAGACATTTCGTGTGAGCCATCCCTGACCTCTAGCTTTTACGATCTTCCTGCTGTATCCTTTGAGAGAGGTCCCTGAGTTTTGACGGGTGTGATACCAATGTTCCATCTGTGGTTGAGCAGTCCCCTGATACTTACTTATTCTTTGCATTTTGACCAGTTGTGAGTTTTCGCATTTCCCATCATCCACTACACGCAGGAACTTCTCTGGTGAGGGCTGAGAACTACATAAAATACTCATTTTTATGGAATAAATGATAAATTACAATTTGAACCAGCATGCTGTCTTTAGATGTTGTAGATCTTCAGAGATCTTCTACAATCAAGTTTCTTGTTAATAACTTGGCATTTGCAGTTTGGTTGTGCGTGTGTGTGTAGTTCACCCCATCCCCTATTTTTAGCTTGGTATTAATACCAGCTCTTTTGTTTCTTGGGAATAGATTCATACATGGCATATAACTTTGCCTTTGGGCCTAAAACTCAAATTAACTTGTGTTACGATAGTAGCTGCAGTAAAGATTACTTGTTTGGCATTCATTACGAGTAAATGTATATAAACACCACCATTGGACTGATAATAGATTGAATTGAACATTTAGGGATGAGGAATCTGAAAATACAGACTTGAGAGCTTGTTTGGAGGTTCTATCAGGACAGCACAGCTACTCAAATACCCTTGATGAAGGAATGTTCCTGCTCTATAGGGGAAGGTTGTCCTCTTCGACCAGGCATGAACGTTTGGGTGACCTACACGTGGAGGGGTAAGGTTGAAAGGCGACACCGACCTAGCCAGCCAGCTTAGCTGAGTCAACCGTGGAGATGAGTAGTGTGACAGATACTGTAACCAGATCACCCTCCCATTCCAGAGTATGGACACTTAATCAAATAAACATGCCAGGGAAATACCACTTCCTAATGAGTACCTTTCTCCACTGCCTACAGAGCTTGTCGCTTAAACCTCAATCAGAAATGCTTTAAGGACAAATAACAAAAGAATCAACAAAGATATATTTCTGGGTTTATTACAGTCCTGTCTCTCATTGGCTCTGTTTCCCTTTGCATTTTTTTTCTCAGTGTCTGAGTAGCTCCTGATCTACATGATAAGGAAGTGACCAGGCCTAGAAATCTGAGCCACAGCCAGGCCTGTGGGTCCTAGCTGTTCAGTGAAAGGAAAACAGTTTCCCAGACCATAGGCTCAAAAAACTGAACAACTATCAGAAGACTGCTGAATTCTGGACGGTTTTATTGGACTAGACTCCAGGAATATAAAGATCAAGTTGTCTTATTCGTCTAGCCTTTCCTAGGACTTTCAGCTACACCCTCATGAGTTATTTCCACTGATCTGTAGTTACTGGCTAAAGTAGCCATCTGAGAGGGATGTTTGCTGTTCCTGTGGCAGAAGAAAAATGGTTTGGCTAGTAATCTGTTAGCTTTAAGTCAAATACCTTTCAAAAATGGTATGGAGGATATATCATGCGGCATTGAGGACATTATTTACATACCCATACTATGGATTATTTTCTTCCAAAATTTATTTGTCAGAAACATTTATGGATATGTTACCTGTACCCAGTGTTATTTATTTATAAGTAATAGTTTATAGTTTCATTTAGTCGATAGCTTATTGAGTATCTATATATGTCAGGCACTGTGGTAGATGTTTTATTTGTATTATATCTAACTTTCATGTAACGTGTCAGCTGAAGACCCTGCTAGGGACCAGACCCTGCATGGGGGGGAGGGGGTTGTATCTTCATTCTCATAATGAACTCTGGTTGAACAGCTATTGTTTGCTGAATTTCTGGTAAGTTTATTCATTTTTACAATTCAAAATAAGATTGTATATTGTGTCTTGCTGCAATGCTATTGAGTCCACACAGCACCTGCTCTGATGTGAAACCTACCTCAACTTCATTTTAAACACTTGATATAGTCACCGGAGACATTCTTATCTAGAATACAGACTTTTTTTTTCTCAAAGAAAAAGGAGGATTTATTTGTGACATTAATTTTCCTGGGGCCAGTTCAAACTGCATAGAAGAAAGACAGCCTCTCAACAATTCCATTCTTTATCATCCGTTCTGAACTTATAGCATCATCCCACTTTATATGCCTTAGTCCTTGTTCCTGAGCTTTAGTCTGACATTGAATATCCAGACTCATCTAGATATGTGCTCAATGAGACAACTCGGAATCTGTCCTCCTTCCTAGACAATGGTGGTTATTCGCAGCACGTTTTCCTAATACGGAATATTATAAGGTTGTTATTATCCACATTTCATAGAAAAGTAGGTAAGTTCAATAATTCAGTGACTTCTTAGTATTATTCTTTATTCAGTGACAAATTCAGATTTTGAATCTAGGTCCATTTGAATTCAAATCCTGTGCACTTTTGTTTGAACAGGGCCCATTTCAGAAAAGAAATTGAAGAAGGTATGCTTTAAGGTCCTCTGAGCCTTAAAAATAGAAAAATTGCTTCAAAAATTCATAGTATCTGAACTCATTTGGGAGAGAGGCATACTGTTTTTTACAATTATGGTCGCAGGCGTGCTATTTTTTTAAAAGTAGAGAAACACAGTATGTAGGTTTGAGTAATTTGGGGGATTTAAGGTGTACTCATCATGAGGAGACTAATGATTGGTACTATAAATCTGGCCAAGAACCCAGGGGGTAGACACATTACATATTACTAGTATTACCCAGGGGGTAGACATATTACATATTAATGGTATTTTGCTAAATGGACATAGCATCAAACTGCCTTCCAGATTCATATGTGTAAATCCATAGATTAGTGCAATTTTCAGTTTTTATCAGGGAAGTGTCTCTGTGCAGTGCATAGGAGTTAACTCTGCAACTCACAATTGATCGATGTAGAGAGAACAAGTGTTGGTGGGGTACTCAACCATAAATGGGACATCCTGCATCACACTGCCTGACCCCAAGGCTCAGAGAATATCTTAGAAGAGGGAGCAGAAAAATGATAAGAGCCAGATGTTGCTGGAAAGGACAAGGGCAAAATAGTATCTTCTGGACATTATAGGACCACTAGACTCATGAGCTTATAGCAACTGTGATTAATTCACCGAGACTTGTACAAGATCAAACCAGTCAGCATTAGGACAGGAAGGAGGAGGGGCTGGAAGCATCCACACCTAGTTGAACTATTAACAGTGGATGGGTACTTGGAATGGAAAGTCAGTTTTAGCATGGAGCCCTGGTGAACAGACCGTACTCTAGTACAGCAGTTCACAGCCTATGGGTTGCTACCCCGTTTGGAGCACATATCAGGTATCCTGCATATAAGATTACAGTTCATAACGGTAGCAAAATTACACATATGAAGTAGCAACAAAAATAATTTGATGGTCAGGGTTCAACACAGGATGAAGAACTGCATTAAAGGTGGGAGCATTAGGAAGGGTGAGGGCCACTGCTCTAGTTGGTGGCTGCACACAGCTGGAATATAGGCAGCATACAACTTAGTGGGCTAGAAGGAAAAGGTTCAGTAATTTGGAAGATCCTGCTTGATATCAGATAAATAAGATATGTAATATGGTTAATTAATTTGTGTGTGTGTGTGTGCGCGCGCGTGCGTGTGTTTGTGTGTGTGTGTGCGCGCCAAGAAGCTATTTGTAATTGATACCTGCTGGGAAAGAGAAAAACCAGTTTTCTCCACTGGCGTGTCACTGAGTATGTCAACAACACTCAAGGGCAGGCCCCATATCCAGGAGTAGCAAGCTAAACCAAAACAGATTCTGTTTTGTTTTGTTTTGTGCAGTTTTGTTTTGTTTTGGTATTTTTGCCTTAAGGCACTTTTGGACTAACTTTGGTGTTAGTTTTGTTTTGTTTTGTTTTGTGGAGGGAGGGAGGAAAGGAAAGAGAGAGAACATGAAGTTGGATGGATACAGAGGTGGGGAGGAGGATCTGAGAGAAGTTAAAAGAAAGAATATGATCAAAATATATCATATAAATTTTTTTAATTAAAAATTGAGTGTGGGCATGCATACATTTGCTCATATGTATGGAGAGTCAAAGACAGGTATCTTCCTCAATTGCCCTTAATCTTCCTTGCTGAGCCAGAGTTTTTCATTGAACCTGGAGCTCACTGAATCAACCTGACTGACTGGCTAGCAAAGCTTGGTGATCTTCCTGTCCTTGCCTCCCCAGTGCTGGAATCAGAGTTACACACTATTGAAAGATATTCGGTGGTGTGACCCTGGTAGGCCCCGGTGGGTGGGAGACCTCCTCAGGTGGGAGACAGACAGATATGCCATGCGGACAGAGCTTGGGTCTAGAATTTATTTAATGGGTATTGGGAATGATATAGGAGTGAGGGGTTATGGAGGGGAGGGGAGAACGGGAGAAAGAGAGAAGGGGGGACAGAGAAAGAAGAAAGAGAGGGGAGAGAGAAGAAAGAAGGGGGTAAGGGGAAAGGGGAGAGAGGCAGTAGTTACCTCTTCAGAAGAGGCAAGTAGAGGGAGGCAGGAGATCAGCTTGCCTCTGGGGTGGGGGTGGGGCTTAAAGGGACAGGGTACCCAGGTGACAAGGAAGGTCAGCAACTATGGTGCCTAGCTTTTCTGTGGGTGTTGGGCATCAAACTTAGAGCTTTATGCTTGCATAACAAGTACTTTGCCAACTGAGCCATCTCCCCAGCCGCAGATTTTAATCTCTGAATTTTTATTTGGATAGTAACTTTTATCAATTACTATTAAACTACTATACCTTCTTATCATACTTCTTTTAAACACATGTCTTCTAATATCTGTTTTTATTACAGAGACAGTTAAAGGCAGATGCTAAAAAAGCTATTGGAAGGCTTCAGCTGCGCACTTTGAAGCAAGGAGACAAGGTACTTTTATTACTTTTAAAGCAAAGCTACCAGGACATTCTTTAAATGCCCTCTGCAATTGTCTTTTTGCTAGCATTGATATACCTCACTGGGTATTTCTATTCAATACTATTCTATTCAATACTGCAATTAGACTACACAATGGCCCTCAACTGTTCCTAGGTACGAATCACTGGCACCTGTAAATGTTACAATAACTTGCAGAAAGAAATTATAGATGTGGAAAGTTAAAGAGGGAGATCATCCAGGATTATTTTTTTTATTTGTTATTTTATTTTATTTTTTTATTGAGAAAAGGAGAAAAAAAAACCAAAAACAAGTTTCCACCTCCTCCCAGCCTCCCATTTCCCTCCCCCTCCTCCCACCCTTCTCCCCCTCCTCCCACCCTTCTCCCCCTCCCCCCACTCCTTTCCCCCTCCCTCTCCAGTCCAAAGAGCAGTCAGGGTTCCCTGCCCTGTGGTAAGTCCTAGGTCTTCCCCCCTGTTGTTCTTTTTAAAAAAATGCTGCAAGATCCCCGGTGGTGGTAGGCAGCAGAAATGCTGTAGGTCCCAAATGGTGGCGGCGGGCCATGTGGCGGCAGACAGCGGGCCATGGGAGCAGCCAGTCCCAGGCAGAGATGGCTGCTGGTCTCAGAGAAGTGGTGGCGAGAAGTGGTGGCGGGCCATGTGGCAGCAGGCAGTGGGCCCCAGGCAGAGATGGCTGCTGGTCCCCGAGCAATGGCTGGTTCCAGGCAGGGAGACACATGGCGGGTGGGCAGAAGACAGAAAAATGGATAGACACGACATGCAGGGTGAGGTTGAATGTTTATTCAGGGGGTTATGGAGGAGGAAGGGTGAAGGGGGGGACAGAGAGAGAGGGAGAGAGAGAGAAGAGGAGAAAGGGACAGAGAAGGGGGGAAGCAGAGAAGTGGGGAGAGAGGCAGAAGTGAAGCTGCCTCTCCAAGAGGAAGATGGAAAAGAGAGAATTAGCTCAGGACTGGAAGCTGAAGATCAGCCTGCCTCAGTGGATGTGGAGGGGAATGGGTGTGGCCTGTCTCTTAAAGGGACCAAAACTATAACACCCCCTCCGTCCATATCTAGGAAGGTGAACATCCAAACTGGCTAGGCTCCCACAAAGCCACCACATTAAGTAGGATCAAAACCCCGTGCCATTGTCCTTGGCGTCTCATCAGCCCTCATTGTTCGCCGTGTTCAGAGAGTCCAGTTTTAACCCATGCTTTTTCAGTCACAGTCCAGTTGGCCTTGGTGAGCTCCCAATAGATCAGCTCCACTGTCTCAGTGGGTGGGTGCACCCCTTGTGGTCCCGACTTCTTTGCTCATGTTCTCCCTCCTTCTGCTCCTCATTGGGACCTTGGGAATTCAGTCCAGTGCTCCAGTGTGGGTCTCTGTCTCTATCTCCATCCATCACCAGATGAAGGTTCTATGGTGATATGCAAGATATTTGTCAGTATTGCTCTAGGATAGGATCATTTCAGGTTCCCAATCCTCAGCTGCCCAAGGAACTAACTGGGGACCTCAGCTTGGGAACCTGGGAGCCCCTCTAGGGTCAAGTCTCTTGCCCACCCTAAAGTGGCTCCCTTAACTAAGAATTGTGGTTCCGTGCTCCCCTGTCCAACCTTCCTTTATCCCAATCCTCCTGTTTCCCCAAGCCCCTCACTCCTTCCCTTCTACCTTTTCTCTCCCCATCTATCCAGGATTATTTAGACAAACCCTAAATATAATCAGAATCTGTATAAGCTGGAGTAAAGGTGGAGGTTTGACCGCCATCCATAGCAAGGTTGCAATGGAATAAAAAAAAAGTGGAATGAGTCAAGGAAGAGACCATGAAATAGAATGCAGGAATGCTCCAGAAGCTAGAAAAGGCAATGACAGGTATTTTCCCTGAAGCCTCCAGAAGGAATGTAGAACAGCCAACACCTCAGTTACTTCTCACCTCCACAAAAGGTAAAAAGCCATGCTAACATAAGCCATCAAATGATGGTAATTTGCAACAGCAATGAGAGAAAACTAATATCATGCTTCAGTACAACTTTGAATGTCCATTTGAGATTTAGGACAGTTGAAAACCTATTGATGGCAAAAGATATCCCAAAAAACCTGCAGGACATACTGAGATAAAGATTTATCACTTATAACACCATCAGAAACATTACGTTCTTAGATATAAATATTCAAAATGTGAGCAAGATTTATATGTTAAAAGTTGGACAGCCGGGCGGTGGTGGCGCACGCCTTTAATCCCAGCACTCGGGAGGCAGAGGCAGGTGGATCTTTGTGAGTTCGAGGCCAGCCTGGTCTACAAGAGCTAGTTCCAGGACATGCTCCACAGCTACAGAGAAACCCTGTCTCGAAAAACCAAAAAAAAAAAAAAAAAAGTTGGACAGCACCAATGAAAGAAATCACAGGATCTGGCAATTATAGCTCAGTGGTAGAGCACTTACCTCTAGCATCCTCAAGGCTTTTGAGTTCAACCATAAGTATGGAGAAAAAAATCAAAGAAACTATAAAAATGGATTATATATATATATATATATATATATATAAAATGTTTGTGGATCAAAAACTTCATCGTTAAGGTGTTGGTTCACCTTAAACTAACCTATGAATTAGCATTTCAACAAGAATTTTCATGAGATAGTATTAAGTATTGGAAAAGCCCAAGAACCAGTATAATCCAAACAATTTGGATGCATAAGAACTGTAGAAGCTGGATGTGCTGTGTTACCGCTCTAAAGACAGTGGGACGTGGGAGAGTGGAGCTGAAAAATGAGGCTGACTAAAGTCTCATGCAATAGCCAACTTTATTCAGAGCACCTGACAGTTTATACTCTAAAGGTTTAGAATTGTCAGATGAGTAAAGGTCCCACGAGTTCAAGCTGCATACAATCGCAAGAACAAGCCACATGTGGCAAAAACATATTTTCCCATAGAGGCATATAAACATGAATTGAGTAAGATCAGCCGAGCAAGCTGAGGTAAAGTCATTCCTGTCCTCTACACCTGGGAGGAGCCCATAGACACATTCCAGAAAGAATTCAGTGTTTTGAAGAAACTGAGGTCACAAGACTCTTTTTTTTTTTGGAGTTTTCTCACAAGCACTCAGAATTCTCACATGACTTCATTCCTAGACCATGTACTGAGAGTCTTATACATGCCTTCAATTCCAGCATCCAGAAAAGTGAGATAAAAGAGCTGTAAGTTCAAGTTCAGCCTGGGTTACATAGAAAGACCTTTTCTTAATATAGGGAGGATAAAAAAGAACAACCTCAAACAGTAGTTCACATCCCCCCAGTTTTCAGGGTTATTTCAAGGCTGTATCTGTGGGAGTATAGAAATGCTAGATCCATAAATGAATGGAACAGTATAGAATCCAGAAATGCTAGATCCATAAATGAATGGAACAGTATAGAATCCAGAAATGAATGGAACAGTATAGAATGCAGCAATGAACATGTGGCCAATTTTTTTTTTTTGAAGATCCAAAGGCGACAAAGCAAGGAGAATTCTCTGCAGTGATTGAGTATATGACTTAGTTAAGGTTTCTATTGCTATACTTAAAACACCTTGACCAGAAGCAACCTGTGGAGAACAGGGTTTATTTAGGTTTACAGTTCTATATCACATCTATCACTGAGGGAAGTCAAGGCAGGAACTCAAACAGAGCAAGAACCTGGAGGCAATAACTGATGCCGAGTCATGGAGGAGTGCTTCTTTTTACCACCCAGGAACACCAGCCCAGGGTGACACTACTTGCAGTGAGCCGTGACCTCCTATATCACCCATCAATCAAGAAGGTGCCCCACAGGCCAATCTGGTGGGAGTATTTTCTCAATTGAGATTCCTTCTTCCTAAATGACACTTATGCCAAATTGATATAAAACTTACGTCAAGTTGATATATGGCTGAGAAGTATACAAAAGAATACTCAATGTCACTGGTCATTAGAGAAATACAAAATCAGAACCACCTGTGTTACCAGTTTTGGAGCCCATTCCCTATGGTGGGATGCCTTGCTCAGACTTGATGCAGTGGGGAGGGACTTGGTCCTACCCCAATTTAATGGACCAGACTTTGTTGACTCACCATGGGAGGCCTTACCCTTTTGGAGGAGTGGATAGGGGGTAGACTGAGGTGGGAGGTGGGATGGAAGCAGGAGGAGGGGAGGGAGGGGAAACTCTGGTTGATATGTAAAATGAATAAAAATTAAAATAAAAACTAGCCAGCATAGTATCCATTTTAAAAATACCTCCATTCTCCATACAGTGTAAAAATTAACTTAAAAGAGTATAGGCCTAAATATACAGTCTATAACTATTGTTTTTGTTTTTGTTTTGTTTTTTTTTTGTTTTGTTTTTGGAGAGATGGTTTCTTTGTAGCTTCAGAGTCTGTTCTGGAACTCGCTCTGTAGACCAGGCTAGCCTCAAACTCACAGAGATCCACCTGCCTCTGCCTCCTGAGTGCTGGGATTAAAGGCGTGTGCCACCACCATCCAGCAACTATTGATTCTTTGGAAGTCTTTGGGAGAAAAATAATTCAGATGTGGATGGGATACATTAATAGTTTTTATGCATGACACTAAAACACAGGTCCACAGAGAAAATGTGGAATTTGACTGTCAGAGTTTAAGAATTTCTGTTTTAAGGAGGATTCAAGAGCACTGGCCACTCTTTCAGAGGACCCAGGTTCAATTCCTAACACTTACATGGTGGCCCACAATCATCTGTAACTCCAGTTCCAGGGTATCTGATGCCCTCTTCTGGCTTCTGCAGGCATCAGACATACACATGGTGCACAGACCTAAAAGAAGGTAAAACTTACATCCACATAAAGTAAAGTAAAATAAAATAAAAATGAAAAGATTTCTATTGTTGCTAGACATGGTGTAACACATCTTTTAACCCCAAAATTTGGAGGCATAGGTGTCTTTGAGAGTGAGACCAACCTAGTCTACATAGCAAATTCCAAGACATAATGAGACCCTGTATCAACTAAATAAACAAATAAATAAGTAAATGTATTTCTGTTATTTGTAAGACAGTTTTTAAGGAAGGGAAACACAAGGTACAGTCTTAGAGAAAATATTTGCAAATTGCATATTTATTAAACGACTACACTTAGAATATTAAAAACTCTTGTCTCGACAACAGAAGCAGCCAAAAAAAATAAAGACACAAACCTGTGATAGGGAAGCAGAAAAGAGGTTATGGGGGAGGGGTATAACAGTACAAGAAGGGGCAGGAGAAGTTGGAGAACATGAGATGGGGGAGAATCAGCAACAACACAATAAACTGAAAATTCCACTGTGTGGAGGCTGCAGAGATGAGTCAGTGACTAAGAGCAGAGGACCCAGGTTCAATTTCCAGTGAGCACATGGTGGCTGACGATCATCTGAAACTCCAGTCCCAGGAGAGCCAATGCCTCCTTCTGGCTTGTGAAGGCACTGCATGCGTGTGGTGTACAGACATGCATTCAGGCACTCCTACACACAAAATAACAATAAATAAAATAAAAACAAAAGTACTATAATGAAACCTAATACTCTATGTGCTAATTACTTAGAATAAATATGGGCTGAAGAAATGGTTCAGAGTTTAGGAATATTTGCTGCTCTTTTACAAGTCCTGGGTTCAATTTACAGCTCCCATTCGGTGGCTCACAACAATAAAAATATTTTGAAAATTAATAAATATAGTAAGTATGCTAAATATACATACATTAATCAAATGAACATATGGCTGAGAAGTATACAAAAGAATACTCAGTGTCACTGGTCATTAGGAAAATACAAAATTAGAACCAAATGTGTTACCAGTACACATTCATTAGGGTTGCTAAGACCTGATGAATATGTACAACCTCTGGAATTCTTATTTATTTTCTGGTGACAATACTAAATGATTATGTCTACCCTGCAAAACAGATTAACAATCCCTTATGACGTTAAAATGCATTTACCATATTAGTTATTCACTGCAAAGAAAGGAAACTCCTATATCCCCATTAAATTCCTAAACGTAGTTATTAGTAATTCTTTCCAAAATGGAAAGAATCTGAATTCCCATCACCTGATAAATGGATAACCTGTGGAATATTCATACTGTGGAATACAATTTAGTAATAAAAGTGTTAGCAAGTCCTTCTGCTACCTGCAATAATATACATATGTGACTATCAAAGACCCTATAATTATGAAGGAAGTAATACTCAGAAGTTAGATGATACATGATTGCATTTATTTGGCATTAGTTTTTAAAGCCTAAGGTATAGGGATTGAAAACATAACAGTGATAGGCAGAGGTTGAGAATGAGAGAAAGGCTTAGTTACTACAGGAATATGAATGAATTTATTGGGGGTAATGTCACTATTCTATATCTTGAGTGTGGTGGGGATTAGATTACTACATGTTTTTAAGAACATGCAAGACTGTAAAAATGACTGGGGTTTGCTATATGTAAATTATACCTTACTTTTTTAGAGAAAACATATCTGAAAATATACAGATGGCTTTCTATAAATTCTCAAGACAGGAAAAAGAGTTGAAGTCAGTACTACATGATTTAATTTGTTCTTTCTTCATTTTGTAGACTTTGTTATTTTGCCTCTTCCAAAGGTCAATGAATTGAAATCACCCACTGCAACTTCATAGTTGCATCCTCAGTAATGTTTCTCTTTGTATAAGAATTTCTAGGTGTTAAACTGCATGTGCATATGCTGGTCCAGCTCTGACATTTAATTTGCTTTTTCTTGTTTGAGTAACAGTAACTATTTGTTCACAGGAAATTGGCCCTGATGGAGATAGCTGTGCTGTGTGTATTGAGCTCTATAAACCAAATGATTTGGTGCGCATCCTAACCTGCAAGTAAGTTTCATCTTCTTTCATATCCATAAAAATAACATCCTTAAAGTTAGCATGATGAAGGAAAACTGTTTTGAATGCTTCCAAATTGATATAGCACTAAAATTGAATTATAGTTTCCAAAATCCAGTACAATTTGTTCTCAACAGTTTGTTTTCCCTGCAGGAAACCGAGAAACCTAGTCATCGGTGTGTGTGTGTGTGTGTGTGTGTGTGTGTGTGTTTAGTACTTGCTTATTTATTTTAAATTCATTCTAACATTTCTTTTGAGAAAACATAAGCTCAACTTAGTGGCCTACTTTGAAGTCTTTACTCTTTAGATTTTAAAATACAGTTCCTCTCCAGAAGGTTAGTCTTAGATTGTCTTCTCAGCTGTTAAATAGCGCTGTTCTTGGAGCTCGTTTCATTGCCTGAAGCATTGGTACTATGTCGTACTCAGTACTTTATCATTCTGTTACTGAGAATGATGATTCCATTTTAGAGTTATGGAACTTATAATTTTAATATTGTAACATGTGAAATGCCAAGAGACTTAAGTCAAGTAGCATTAGCCATTTTCAAGTTATGAATACTAAAAATAACTTTTTGAGGCTAGAGTAATGGGGCCTCTATATTTAAGAGCTTTGCATTATGAAATCTCCAGAATCTATTCTTGTGGCCTCTTTATTAATGGTATGTTTAAAAGGGGAAAAGACATCCTAGCAAAGGCTAAGAGTCATCTCTGTGTGTGTGCGTGTGTGCATGTGTCCGTGGTGGTGGTGGTGGGGGGAGGCGCAAAGTGTGGTTTCTGTTTCACATCTTGTAACTGCATTATCTCTTTTCTCTTTCATTAGTCATATTTTCCATAAGACATGTGTGGATCCATGGCTTTTAGAACACAGGACTTGCCCCATGTGCAAGTGTGACATTCTCAAAGCTCTGGGAATTGAGGTAAACGTTGCTATATTCTTTCTCTGAAGGAACTTCAGCAGTGTGGTATTTATATTCCCGGGCATTTATGACAATAACATCCTTCTCTCTCTGGGGAGGTAATGTGCAAATCATTTAGTTGATACCAAAAACTAGACCTATTTCTTTCATAGCCACAGAGACGCTCATACGATCGTGGACATATCCATTTTCCTTCTCTCATCGCAAATGTACTTAGTATTTGGATCAGAATTAGAACTCTAAACTACCAACTTACCTACTTTTCTGTTTTAACCCTGTCATTTATTGCAAAGTTTCAAATTTGTCATTAAGTAACCATGACCATTTGAGAAAGCATAATAAAATTATAATTTTGTACTTGGTAAATGAAAAAAACGTATCTTCAAGATAAATGTCAACTCGATGAAATCTTTTTAACAGAACAGAAATATGAGATGAGAGCAATTTTCAGTTCTCTTTTGGGACAGAATACTATATATTAATGTATACTGAATATACCTTGTTCCCACCATTATGTTTGAGGTGAAGAGATCAGCCAGATGAAGACATATGTACTCCATTGGTATAGCCAATGCCTACTCCTGCTACCGTGACTGGGGCCAGTAAGAGATTTCTGTGACATGAAAATGGGGTAGAGAAATATTACTAATAAGGTTAAGAAATATTACTCTGTGTTATCACTACTGAAAAACATCATAACCATATGTCAATGTAATAATGCATGTACTCTGAAAGTCAATTTGTTTGAATGCTTACCACAGGTGGATGTTGAAGATGGATCAGTGTCTTTACAAGTTCCTGTTTCCAATAATGCATCTAATATTGCTTCTCCCCACAAAGAGGACAATCGCAGCGAGACCGCATCATCTGGCTATGCTTCGGTCCAGGGAGCAGATGAGCCGCCTCTGGAGGAACATGTGCAGTCAGCAAGTAAGCATCAGACTGCAGAGCAGTGGGCTCATCTCAAGTCGTCCACTGTGGGCCACACATCTAGCCACGTAATCTTGCTTTTTAGTGGTGGTTCCATTCATGCATTATGCCATTTCAAGTTCTTTTGCTATTTAAAATGATGCAATGAAAGATGTACTCCTGCCAGAAAGTATATGCATATTCAAAGAGTACATACATATTCAAATGTTCCTGAAATAGATGGCATGCCGCAGGAATTAGGATTATCCACAGAAGAAGAGGTTTTGTTGGAAAGCTGCTCTCTGAGCCATTAACTTCTTACTGAGGTGAAGGAGAAACTTTAAATTTTAGCAGCCATTGTTTATGACAGATAAATCAGAATGGAGGATAAATGACTCCTGGAATAATAGAAGAATTTGATTTACAACAGTTAGGTTTATGCCTATATTCTCAGGAATCCATCTTGCAGATAGGAAACTAGGTTTAACAATGGTATGTGCTGCCACCTGTTGACTTTTCTAGGCTATGAACCAATTGTTAGAAACTAAGATTGAACATAATTAATTTTGGAATTTATGTGGATTATTATTACAGCTTAGTAATTTTATATGAATGGAGAAATTTGGGGGTAATTTTGTTACTTTTTCCTCTAAAAATATCAAGTCTCTCTATAAATTAGTTTTCCTTTTTCTAACCTCTAACTTTTTCCAAGTTTTTCTTAGTTTGAAAGTTTCCCCTCGGTTCTTACCTTGAAGACACCCGATTTTAGTGTAAAAGTGGAAGAAACTAATTACTACAATAGCTTGTGAATATTTCAGCTTTCTGTGCCATAAACCTTTGCCCTCTGTAGGCTTATCAGTGCCATAAATACCATTGCTGAAGACGTCACAAGGCACACAGCCGTATAAAAGCAAACCTTGTATTTCTTGCAATCTGATCTCCAGACATTTCCTTCAGTACATTCATAGGAATGTTAATTATCTGTGGATTGTTCTAGCTATAATACTGAGTCATTGTTTTTTTGTCATAATGTTGTGTTCCCATAATGGTGTGGTAAGAGAATTTGATGAAGATAAAAGATAATTTAAATTGTGTTAGATTTTTTTATATACAAAATTCCACCCTACTTGATTGTGTTCAGTTCTTGTGGGGGTTGGTTCAGAGGATGGGGAAGTAGAGAGACTTTACAGATCATTTGACTAGCAAATGAAATAATGGTCCATGTTCCTCCTGCATTCTTTCCTGGATGAATGCTAGTGACGCCCACTTTGAGGCCTTAAGGATTCGTCCCTAGATCCCTAGTTCCCCAGATTCTTCATTCCCTCTTTCCTGTTGATTCAATACACTTTCTCAGATCTGCCCCTTAATTTCTCATCTTTCATAAACAGAGTTTGAGCCCCTTGCTTCTCTATGTCATACTTCCGCTCTTCCTTTCCCAGTCTAATGTCTGCTCCCCCTCTGCAGGCATGCCTCGCAGACTCTTTCAGAAGCCTTGATTTCACTTTCACGTCCACACCCACAAATTTCTATGGATGCATTTAGTGAACTAAATTGTACCATGTAACTTTTATTTCCTCTTAGTGGAAGGTGGCTTCTGTTAACCTGTTTCCCATTCAGCACATGCTGCCACCTAAGATATGGAAATTTGTGTTGAATAAATGATCCCTTAGATCACATTCAATTTTGTCTGTGATTGCAACTTGCCGGTTTGGGGATATGACATGTTTGTCACTGATTACAATGGCCGTTGATTTCTTTTAAGTACCACGAGGGTAACTCAGTGAATACTGAATCCACTCACATTTATTTTTTATACACTTTTATGCTCCCAATACAAAGTGGGGGGAGAAGTCAAAAAACTGTTATAATATGACACAAAGGATAACCAGAAGTTATTGCTTTGATACTTGAGACATCAAGCCATTGTTTCCTGAGTAAAGCAAGACTCGAACAAGCATCCTATAGGCAGCCACTCCCTAGGTCAAACCTCCTATTTTAAAATTAAGGAACAGGAATAGGCTTGAATTCTCTCACCTTTGGTCAGGGTGGAGTGGATCCACATCTATGGGCCATCTTTTTTCCCTATAATTTTCTTAAAAATCCTTTCTTATTTTACATGCCAAATCTATTTCCCACTCCTTCCTCTCCTCCTGCACTCTGCACATTTCCCCCCTTACCCCCCATACCACCCCCATCCACTCCTCAGAGAGGCTGAAGCTTCCCATGGGGAGTCAACACAGTCTAGCACCTTGCTTTGAGGCAGGACCAAGGCCCTCACCCCTACATCTAGGCTGAGCAAAATATCCCTCCATAGGGAATGGGTTCCAAAAAGCCAGAACAAGTAATAGGAATAAATCCTGGTCTCACTGCCATTGGCCCCACAGTCTACCCCAGCCACACAACTGTCACCCACATTTAGAGGGACTAGTTTGGTCCTATGCTGGTTCCCTCACTGCCAGGCCAGAGTTGGAAGGCTTCCATTAGCTCAGATAAGCTGTTTTAGTGGGTATCCCCATCATGGTCTTGACCTCTTTGCTTGTATTCTCACTTCTCCCACTCTTCGACTGGACTTTGGGAACTGAGCCCAGTGCTCCACTGTGGATCTCTCCATCTGATTCTGTCAGTTGGTAGAAGGTTCTATGATGATATTTAAGATAGTCATATCTGACTACAGGGCAAGGCCAGTGCAGGCACCCTTTCCACTATTGCTTAGTGACTTAGTTGGGGTCATCCTTGTGGATTTCTGGAAATTTCTCTATTGCTAGGTTTCTTGCTAGCCCCATAATGGCTCCCTCGATCAAGATAGCTCTTTCCTTGTTCTCTGTCCTTCCCCCATTTGGACCATTCTGTTCCCTCTAGTTCTTCTTCCCCTCCCCTTCTCCCCTCCTCCTCCTCTTCTGCCTTCCCTTCTCCCCCACCTCATGCTCCCAATATTCTCAGGAGATCTTGTCTATTTCCTCTTCCCAGGGTGATTTATATATGTTTCTCTTAGGGTTCTCCTTGTTACTTAGCTTCTCCGGGGTCATGGACTATAGGCTCCTTATCCTTTACTTTATAGCTAGTATTCAACTATGAGTGGGTACATACCATGTTCATCTTTCTGCATCTGGGTTACCTCACTCAGGATGGTTTCTTCTATTTCCATCCATTTGCATGCAAATTTCAAGATGTCATTTTTTTTAACCTCTGAGTAGCACTCCATTGTGCAAATGTACCACATTTTCTTTATCCATTCTTCAGTTGAGGGGCATCTAGGTTGTTTTCAGATTCTGGCTATTACAAATAGTGCTGCTATGAACATAGTTGAACAAATGTCCTTATAGTGTGGTTGAGCATCTTTTGAGTATATGCCCAAAAGTGGTATTGCTGGATCTTGCAGTAGGTTGATTTCCAATTATCTGAGAAATTGCGATACTGATTTCCAGAGTGGTTACACAAGTGTGCATTCCCACCAGCAATGGAGGAGTGTTCCCCTTACTCCACATCCTCTCCAGCATAGGCTATCATTGATGTTTTGACCTTAGCCATTCTGACTGGTATGAGGTGGTATCTCAAAGTCAGTTGTGGGGGCAGTTGATTTTTATAATTGCAAGTGCATAATTACTTCATCTATGTAATACATCATTGGGATCAGTTCTGTTAGAATACAAGTCTTCAAAGTTAACTACCTACCTAATGTCCTAGAGGGCTTGTTGACTCAGTGGGTTTGGAGTGGGGCCTGAAAATGTATATCTATAGCAATTTTTCTGGTGATACTGATATTTCTGGTACAGGGAATATATCCACTAAGGCCCTTGGTTATCAACCATGCTGTACATCAGAATCACATGGAGAGATTTTTTTTAAAAAAAAAATCTGGCATATAAAGAGCACTTTAGGGCAATTTAATAAGAAAGCATGGGATAAATCCGGACTAGCTGAACATAGCGGACAATGAGGAATACTGAGAACTCAAGAACAATGGCAGTGGGTTTTTGATCCTACTGCACATACTGGCTTTGGGGGAGCCTAGGCAGGTTGGATGCTCACCTTAGGAGACCTGGATAGAGGTGGGCGGTCCTTGGGCTTCCCACAGGTCAGGGAACCCTGATTGCTCTTCGAGCAGATGAGGGAGGGGGACTTGATCGGGGGAGGGGGAGGGAAATGGGAAGCGTTTGCAGGGAGGAGGCAGAAATCCTTAATAAATAAATAAAAATAAAAAAAGAATTCATAAGGGATGAGGCCCAATTACATGTAGTTTTAGTTTAAATTTTGAAATAACTTTAGACTGAAAATAAGTTTCAGTAATAGTACCGAGAGTGCTCATCTACCCCTTTCCTAGTTTCTGCAAATATGGATATCTTATATAACCATATACTTGCATAGAGCCTAGAAAATGACCTGATGAAATATTAACTACAGACCTTCCTCAACTTTACCATCTGGCCCACGCATGCCCTTTTTTCCGCCCCAAGGCCTCACGCTTCCTGTACTTGTAAGTCTCCTTGATCTTCAATCTATGACAATTCCTTAGTATTTGCCTTTTATGATGTTGATATTTTTGAAGATTACTTTATAAAATGTTCCTTTATTTAGCCTTGTCTGCTGCTTCATGAAAATTAAATCACTGTCCATTTCTGGTAAGAATGCCAGAGGATGATGCTCTGTGCCTGTCAGCAGCACATATTATGAGGCACACGATGTTCTCATTACAAATGATTTTAACTTTGTTCACTTGGTTAAGGGTTCTGGCTACCAAATTCTTCCCTGTAAAGTTACCATTTTCCATTTGTAATTATTAAATATCTTTTTGATAGATGCTTGGAAACCTTGCAAATATCTCTTTTGTCGTGGCTCCTTTACTGGCCAACTTTAGCAATAATTGATACTTCCTGTTATAATTTATTACTGAACTATTCACCAAATAGTGACGTTCTATTTCTATCCTTCTTCCCACACATTAATTTTCAAATTTAAGGAAGAGCCATTCCCTTTCTATTTTATTCATTTATTGGTAATAAGTGACATCACAGATACTTCTTTCATTCTTTGTTAGTTTCATGATTTGTCCATTGCTCATAGATTCTTCATTTCTGTCTTGAGAAACTTATTTAAGTTGGGTTCTTTATTCTTTTGACTTCCTTACTTTCTGGTACCATAGTATGCTTTCAGTCTCAAGTTGACTTTTTTTTTTCTTTAAGGGACCAAGTAGTAAATATTTATGGTTTGAAAACCACATATATTTCTGTTGCATATTCTTTTTGTGTATCTTTCAGGGGGAAGGGTTGGTTTGTCTTGAAAACATTTTAAAATGTGAAAAGCACTCTTAATGTGGCTTTGGCTCCGTGAGTTATAGTTTTCTGACACCTAGGCTAGAATCCAGGTTAATCTTGTACACTCCCTGTCTCAGAATCTGCCATTTCTTCAAGAGGTCTCTTCTTGGAGATTGATATAGCAAAAGCAAGATTTGGGCATTGGGCACACTCATAGCCACTGGGTGGTTATTCTGATCAATTTTTCAAAGCACAAGGCTATAATGAACTTGTTCCCTCACAAAGCTTTTCTTCTCTTCCTTTCTCTGTTCCTTTTCCTCTGATCTGGAAGACACTGAGTTTTTGCTGCTGGATGTGTGTGGTTGTAGCTCCACAGCCAGGGCTCATTCTAGACCTTCCTACTGGCCTTACTTGGAATTCCTATTAGTGATGGTGGAAGGAGAAGGCTTTCCTTATCCAAGAAATGTTTACTTAACCTTTCAATTCTAGAATAAAGATAGAATACTTTCAACAACGACTATTCAACCCATTTCTTTTTCTTTAGCCATCTGGCATGAAGTTATTTAGATGTTTTTTCATCCCCGCCTTTCTTCTTTAAGGATGATTATATATTGTATTTACTATACAGTTAGGTTAAATAGCACAAGAGGTAGTAATGTGCAGCCAGGTTTAAGAACTGTTATATTGGGGGCTGGAGAGATGGCTCAGAGGTTAAGAGCATTGCCTGCTCTACCAAAGGTCCTGAGTTCAATTCCCAGCAACCACATGGTGGCTCACAACCATCTGTAATGGGGTCTGGTGCCCTCTTCTGGCCAGCAGGCATACACACAGACAGAATATTGTATACATAATAAATAAATAAATAAATATTTAAAAAAAAAAGAACTGTTATATTTAAGAAAGAAAAAAAAAGTAAAATATGTAACTTTTGTCGTTAATGAGACTATAATCCAGGTAAAAGTAAACACATGTACATGAATCAAATATAGGTACCATAAATCAATAGGACCATAGTTGCCTTATGTGAAACAATATAAATTATGTTTTTTTTTGTTTTTTGGAGATAGGATTTCAGGCTGTAGCCTAGGTCAGCCTGAAGTTTACTGTGTAGTTCAGGCTAGCCTTGAAAGCACAAGAATGCTTGTTCCTCACTGCCCTGAATGCTATGAATATAGGCAGGCACCCCACACTGGATATTGAAAAGGCCACATGGTATTAAGGAACAGAAAGCGGTATAATCATCAGAGTATAATGACCTTGAATGAGGAAGCCCTCTTAGATGTGATGCAGAATTCTGTCTTGAAAGGAGAGACGAATGGAATCACCCTACATTTTTCCCTTCTGTTTTCAGATGAAAATCTACAGCTGGTAAACCATGAAGCAAGTGCTGTGGCTGTGGATGTTGTTCCTCATGTTGACAACCCAACCTTTGAAGAAGATGAAAGCCCCAATCAAGAGACTGCTGTTCGCGAAATTAAATCATAAAATCTGTGTCAATAGAAACTTGAACCGTTAGTAATAACGGGACTGCCAATCAGGACCTAGTTTACTATTAATGAACTGGGTAAACGTAATAAAGACGAGTGAAAGTGCTGAGATGACTAATATTATACTATAGTTAAGTGGCTTAGCATATTTAACCTAGCAACTTTTCCACAAACTCATTATAGTGTTTTTCATAGTCAAGTTTCCTCTTGATGATAGTGATAACAACATTTTTAAACATTCAGAACTGTCTACAAGTAGTCGGGTTTTTCATGTATAACAACTTTCTTATAAAAATATGTTGCTTTCAATATGTGGAGTAGCTGTAATCGCTTTTATTTTGTAATAGTATCACAATGAAACACTGCTACTACTTTCGCTTGGGCTATTTGTGTCAGGGTTTGTCTCCGGGTGTTTGTATTGATCTGGAATTGTAAAAAGCATTGCAAACTTAGGCTAGTGCTTCATGAAATGTCGATTTAAAATACATTACGTTGATAGAACAAGATTAAAGCAAAATGCTCATTTTAACCTTTTCTTTTTTAATTAAGCTGTGTATGTATTTCATGTGAGTGTGAGCATAGTTTGTCAGAAAATATGAACTGAATTGGTTGATCGGTATATCAGTGACACCACACAAGATTATAGACACAAAAGAGTTTCTTACAAAACTATTGTAAACTATTTCTCAAACTTGAAATATTCAAAAGCACAGAATAGAAACTACTCTAAGATGTGAAAATAGTAATAGTAGAATAAATCAGAGAAAATTGGTAACAGACTACTCTGCAGAATTAATCTACAGAAAATGTTCTGTAAGATTTGTCTGTAGAAAGTATTTTCCAAACACTGTTGACATTGAAAATTAAGTTTACATTTGACCTAACAGGCTCTAATTATATTAAATTTAAATCCTGTCCATATATCTATAGTTTTGTGAATGCATTTTGTTGGTGTTTGAAAAAGAATCAAGGGAAGGGGGGATTTCCAGGTGCCTTAATATAAAGTTTGAAGCTTCAACCACCAAAGTTAAATAGAGCTATTTAAAAATTCACTTTATTTCTATTTCGTGTGGCTTGCCCATTAGTTTTGTTCCCAGTGAGTTCAGATTCCAGCAGAATTTAGACAGAGATAGAACAGACATGGATTTTTGTTTACTGACTATATGATGGATGAAACCATTGCATTCTTGTACACTGATTTGAAAATGCTGTAAATATGCTTCGATTTGTACTGATTCTCTTTAAATATGAAATGTAAATAAAACATTCCCATGAAAGAGTGCATCTGATGTTCCCTTTAGCTGTTATATACTCACTTTTGTGTATAATACACTTAGTTTTGAGAGGAAAGAATTGTTGGATGTAAATGGTCATTGATATATTTGATCAGTACAGACTAAATCTCTAGTGTGATCTTTACGTGTGACCTCATGCAAAAAGGGAAGAGATGCCATTATGCTCTGAAAAAACTGTGAAGTAGTTTTAGATGTCAACAAAGTAAATAATAAAGCTTATCAGTAATAAAATACAAGGTTAAAATATCTTGATGTTAACCTGTATTTGTGCCATTTATGACATGAGGATTATTTCAGTATTTTAAAGCTTTCTTTCATTTTTTTTCTTTAGACTGTATGACTGATAGGATGTTGTTAATGAATCAGAATATATCTTATCTTTTGTAAAGCATTTTAAGAATCCACAGATACTTGGATCACTTCAGGACCATGGTTATCAAAATCAGTGTACACATTTTATGTGACAACATGCCTGCAATATGAGTATTCTCTATAGTTTTAAAGGGTTTAAGTTTTGTGGGGATCATTTTGATTTGTTCCATCTCAGGATTAAAACAACCCATATCAAAGTTGGATAAGACAAGCCAACAGAAAAAGAAAAGAGCCCCAAGAGCAGACACAAGAATCAGAGACCCACTCGTTCAGACATTTAGGAGTCTCACAAAAGTACTAAACTGAAAGCCACAGTACATATTCAGAGGACCTGGTGCAGACCTGTGCAGGCCCTGTACATGCTGCTTCAGTGAAAAAGATAATTTTAACTTAGAGAGAAATTATTTGTGTATGTATTTGTGTAGGCGGAGTTTTTCTGACTCCCAAATAACCACACAGATAATATACATGCTTGACCGATAGCCCAGACTAGCTCTTCCAGTTTAAATGAACCCATTTCTATTCAAGTATGTGCTGCCCCGCGGCTTGTGGCTCTTACCTCTCTTGCGTGTCCTCCTTCCTTGCTATCTGGCTGCACCCCTCTAACTCTGCCCTCCTTCTTCCCAGCATTCTCTCTGCCCTGAAAATCCTGCCTAGCCATCAGCCAATCAGCTTTTTATTAATGAGAGCAATACATATTTACAGTGTAAAGGGTTGTTCCACAGCATGTCTGTGTGTGGGTTTACATATGTATGGCGAGGCATGGCACAGTGTAGTGGCCAGAAAAGGTTGTTAGACCACCCAGAGCTGGTGCTTCATGATTTTGGGGAATGGATGAACAGCTTGCTAACATAGGTACTGGGATTTGAACTCAGATCCTTATTGCGTTATCCCAGAACATACCCTCGTGCCAAGAATAAATTCCTGTTCCTAGTTCCAGCTTACACATTTCACCAGTCTGCTTTCTGTCTCTATAGATTTACTATTTTAGACAGCACACAAACAGAATTGTACAATAAAGGCTTTGCTGCTGGATTCCCCTTAGAATAATATGGTCAAGCTTCACCCATATTATAGTGTATACATACAATAATTCATACCTTTCCATTGTTGAGTATATGCCATCATATGAGAATCTGACATTTGTTTGTCCACTTATTATTGAATCCTTGGGGTGTTGCACCATTTTAGTCATTATGGATAGAACTACATTCTATATTTACATTCACATATAAATCATTCTCTAGATGTAATGCCAGGAGGAATTCCTCAAAGAGAGGAATCCTACGACTTCTTGATACTACCATTTGATATACTTTAGCTTAAACATCAGACTTTATACTATGCATTCACATGATATCACAACATAGGCTAATTCTTTTAACTATAGATAATATTTGCACAATGAGCTGCAAACATAAGAAATAGGGGAGTCTGAGTATGAGTTTACTGGAATTTGAGTTGATTCATGTTAGGAATATACATTTACCCCACACCCAATCAGAAATACTAAAAGCATTTATAGAGACAACTGGAATGGTAGGAACATTCCTTATCTCCTTCATACATTCATCCTTGTTTATTTGTAAAATATTTCGCTAAAGAATTACCAACCCAGACTGTAAAATGTCTAGTTATTTTTTTGCTTACTGCTTTTCTTTGGAGTTAATTTTTATAGTATAAGCACAACAACTAACAATTAATACACTACATGAGAATAAAAGAAATTAATGATTGTGGTGGTCACTTTGACCTGCAGAGATAGCCTCTACCAACAAAGCTACTTCAGTAAAATAGTTTGAGAAGTACTAACCAGTAGTCCTCAACTATCAGTGTTATGTGCCATGGTGTGTGCATGTTCATGTGCGTGTATGTGTGTGCATTGTATGTGCATAAAGGAATGCACAAAAGCTAGAGGAAGACATCAGGTGCCCTGCTCTATCACTCTTTGGTTTAGTCCCTTGACACAGGTCTGCCATTCAAACCAGAGCTAGGGTGGCAGTCACCCTGTCTCTGTCCCTGACGAGTGGATAGATGCTCTAGGCTTTTTATTCAGGTCCCATTCATTAACACAGTAAGCACTTACCACTGAGCAATCTCTCTAGTCCTCACATTTTTTTTAATATGCAAGAAGTTTCATAAATGGGAAGCACTCATGGGTATAGTTCTTGGTGTTTAAAAGCATAAAAGTGTTTATGGCTGATTAACAGCAAGTTCCCTTTTTAGCTGTAACTCCAACTGCTATCCCAGTTTTGAACCATTGTCCCAGAAAACCTTAATGAGCAGGTACTAACAGAACCTTTTTTTAAAGGAGCAATATTGCCACCTTATGTTGAAAGGGCTCACATGGTTAATGAATGATGCCTACGTGGGGCTTACGTCAAGCATGATTAATGGGCACCAGATTGGAGTAGTTTGATTTTCAAATAACCATTCACCTTAAATCAATGCATCCACAGCTTTATTGTCCCACAAGCTTCCAGGGAACCTTGGTCAAATATACATTCTAGCTATGCAGGCCAAGTGTAAGGCGGGAAGGTCTGAGTTTCTAGCTCCCAGGTGACCAGATGACACTGGTCTGGGATCCACACTTGGAGAAACAACACTTTAAATGACTGTCCCCTAAGACAAATATTCACACTTTGAATCTTATTGCGCCCAAATCTGCTATAGACTAAAACTCTATAAACATAGCTCATGTCACTTCAGATTAGCCCAGAAACTAAGTGAGAGCGGAAGCCTTTCCCTAGCACCGTTGCTGGAACTGGTTTTGGGCGTTTCTTCCCTCAAACATTTTCTCATAAGTATTTGAGGCCACTATTTAGATGAGCCAGTCACCCAGAAGACTGACCTCTGGATAATATACCCTCATGCCGTGCTATTAGGTGGGTTAATATATCGCTCAGAAAATAAAAATGAAAGCAAACAAATGAATTGGGATGCTTTTAAAGTTGTATAGCAATAACACGATGTGGAGTCACTCTAAACCACAGAAGAACAATATAGATTTTTAAAAATATTGTGCAGAGAAACACACAGAGAGATGCAAATGGAGGTGGGAAGAAAGGGAGAGAAAGAAACCTAAGCTTGGGCTGGAGAGATGGCTCAGCCATTAAAGGCTAAGCTCACAACCAAAAATATAAGAAACCCAAGCTTATTCCAAAGTTTTCAGCTTAACACCTTGGTAAACAGTAGTGTTTCAAACTATGAGAATATTAGACTGGGGGGATTCGGAGAAGTGAGTTTAGCATTTGGATACATTGCTTTTGTATCTACGGACCATACTCAGAGACAATATAGTGTTTTGGTCTATAGTCATAAATACAGGCTCAGATCCCAACTCTGCCATTTGTTTAGATGTGAGGACTCAGGAAAGTAACAATTTCTCCGAAACTGCACTTATAAACAAGAAAAAGCATAGGGTTATTTTAAAACACGTCATACTGTACATTAAGTGCCAGGACAATACTAGCAGGGATAGTCGAGATCGTTTGTAATCCTAAAGTAATTTACAGTAACACACACAACTGAACAGCAAATAGAACCCCGTTCTGTTCTTAATGTGATTTTAGAGAAACACTTATTTGCAAAGACTTGAAGTAGGTTATGATCAAGAAAAATTTTTACCTGATATACATAATTTAACTTGAAAACTGTTTAGTTTATATAATCAGCGAAATGTTTGTTTACAAAAGCGTTCTAAATTCTCTGCTCTGAGATGTAAAGGGCCTGATCTTACAGCGGAGCCTCTGACTGGCCCTGCTTGGGTTCAGAGTAGGGTAAAGGAGCCATCCATTCTGATGCTCCTTGCCATAACTATAACCATAAGGGTACTGACTGACAATGGAAATTAAAAGGGGGCCAGAACTGTGCAAATGAAGGAAGACAAGAGGTGTCTACATTTGCTGCATGTATTGCTCTTTCACTGTGAAGAAAGTGAGAAAATGATGTACTTAATACACCTCAAGCTTGGATGACTTTGCACTAGGAAACACGTTGTGTCCAGGCTCTAGGAGGGTTGCCTCCTCCTCTGAAGAAAGCTGCTCCTATTGCCTTTTGGATTGTCCTGTTTGGGGGGAGGGGCTGGTTTTGTTGTGGTCCTTGTTGTTTGGAGGGTTTTGCTGTTGTTTGTCATCCACAAGAACTTTCTGTGACAGCCAGCATCTCCGAAGATTTAACCTGAACACACTCCTTCAAGGCAAAGAGTTCAGTAGTTAGTTGCAGGACTCCTAGTCTGAGTGTGTCCCACCCCATAGTTTTAGCCACAGAGCCATATATCTTCATTTTGGATACTTTGTCAACTTGTCTGATCCTTTATCCGGAATTCTTTCTGTAAGCCTATTTTACTCGCAGTCCATTCTTTAGCTCTAGGGATTGAGTTTGCTTGACAAATAAAAACAGCCCTCAAATAATTCCTCCCAGAAGACCTCTTTCATCTTAGCATGCAAGTAGCTGTGCAACATTGCCAAGATACCAAGAAATGAAGGCTGCCCTACAAGGAATTTTGTTTTTCTTTAAACAGTGTAAGAAAAGAAAATACCCTCATAAGTAGTTTGAATACCTAAAATGTTAGATTTTCCATCGTTTATACCAGTAAATAAACAGAGGCGGCATGGGGTAAGGGAGAGTTGCAAGGTGTGAAAACAGTATGTGGTTTCGGAGTTTTCTAATTTTCCATTTTTGTGTGTGTGTTTTTTTTTTTTTTTTTTTTTTTTTTAGTTTTTTCGAGACAGGGTTTCTCTGAGCGAAAAGAATTTAATTTAGGCAAGAATTTTGAACAATGAATCTTATTACCAACTGTGAGACCTTGGATAAGTCACTTCACTCTCTAGCGCTTTCCATTTATGAGCGAGCGCAGTGGAGGGTCTACTTGTAAAGACTTCAGGGAAAGTTACCTGAGAAATCACCTGCTACCGAGTTGGCGCTGATTAAATGCAAGTTGCTGCAGGCTATTGCTTCCTGGATGGGACATTCCTCAAAAATGTCGGAAACTTTGTTTTCAACTAATTAGTCCTCTCACTATAAAACAACTAGAAGCATTGCTATCATACCCTGGGTTAGCCTATTTGAAGCAAAAACGTCTTTAACTTTACACTACAGGAAAAACTCACTTAACTGGTGGCGGGACCGCTTCGAAGGCGTCCCCCACCGCTTCGAAGGCGTCCCCCACCCACCCAACTCTTACCCCAATGCATTGCGGGAAATGTAGTCTCTAGCTAAAATCGAAAGGGTGCAGGAAAACGGATAGAAAACTACAACTCCCAAGAGGAGACGAGGCGGGACTATTTCCCAGTCTGGCGGTTGCTCCGTGGGAGGGAGTTGGCACTCTCTCTGCCTACGTGGGAGAGAAGGCAGGGTTGGGGGGGGAAGTGTGGCAAACCTCCCGAGGCACCGCCGCCAAAGGCAGATTTGGTGGGAGGAGAAGTAGAGGGGTGAAAACAGGCTGGGAGGGGAGAGATAAGGAGGACAAATAGGTCGCCGCTCCTGAGGCGGCACAAAGTTCTTCAAGATGTGGCTGAAGCCCGAGGAAGTGCTGTTGAAAAATGCGCTGAAGCTGTGGCTGATGGAAAGATCCAATGAGTACTTTGTCCTGCAAAGGCATCGAGGCTACGGGGAAGAAGGCGGAGGAGGACTTACAGGTAAGTGGCGGCCAGCAGTTGCGGCCGGCTACACCTGAGTTAGGACTGTGCCCACCGTCACTTAAAAGGTGGCGAGGCGAACAGTTATTCGTCGCCACCCGCCGTCTTGTCCTAAACCCGCGGCAATGGACGAGGGACTCTGCTCCCGCTACCACCTTTCTGCGGCTACCACAGAGTCCCGACTGTACTGCCCTGGACTAACAGTTGTTCTTTGGGTCGGACCGGGGATGGGGACAGCTATGGAGGAATCCAGTACCTGGGGAGAGGTTGCTCCCCATGGGGGAGGGGGCTGGCGGCCAGTGTCTGCTAGCTTGACTAGTCCCCTTAAGACCAGCTGTGGGAGCGGGTTCGCGATTGTGAGCTTAACTTTTTTCAAAACATACACAAATAATCACCACCCTGGGGAGTGAGTGCACGGGGTGGTGGTGGGGCGGGGTGGCATTGTGAGGACGTGGGAATCTTAAGGAGAATGAAATTCCCGTCACACACTGAGAGAGCGGCTTCAAGTGAGATTTGGGTCAGGGCGTGGGGATGCTTGATGCTGGGGAAGTGGAGGAACCCTTAGAATTACTCACCTCTCCCAATTTTGCATCTTTTGATATATATATATATATATATATATATATATATATATATATATATATATTCCAATTTTCAGTCCTTGGTACCTCTGTTTCTGTTAAGCACACGTTTCTCTCCAGTGAGTTTGGCACTGCCTCTTCTTTCAAAGATGTGTAAGTCAAACCAATTAAACAGAAGGAAGTTCCTTCCTAACCCATCCTCCCACAGTTCTTAATTTTAAAAATTCAAAACGGGTCCATGTCTGAAGAATCCAAAGAAGGCTATTTTGAGATCCTTAGTCTTGGGCAGAGGCTTTCAAACTTTTGGTCTTTGGGGGAGGCAAGAGCTGTTTTCATGCTAATTCCTGGCTTGGTATTAGGACCTTGAAGTGGTCGACCCGACCAGGCTTAATTTGGGAAAGGTGATGGATGTAGAGGAAAGAAACAAAAATCTGAAAACCTACATTTTGAGCCTCTCAATTTTTACCTGTTGGATGACATTTGTCAAATTCTTTAATATATGCAACCTTAAAGCATATTGTATGCTACTCTGACGTTTGGCAATTATAATTCTGTTCTCAGCCTTTAAAGTGCTTGATTAAGGGAGGAAGGTGGGAGTAGAGGAGAAAGATCAGCTAGTTTACTAGAAGATTATAATGAGAACCAAATGACTGAGGCTTGAATGAAGAAGATTCTTGGTTTAAGTGGCATTGATTTCCCTCTTCAGTTAAAAACAAATACCATTGCATGGCTGGGACAGACTGCAGAGCCACTGGCAGTGGCACCAGGATTTATCCCATTGCTTGTACTGGCTTCTGGGGAATTATTCTCTTTATAGGGATACCTTGCTCAGCCTAGATATAGTGGGGAGGTCTTGGACCTTCCCCAAAGCAATGTGCCTTACCCCGTCTGAGGAGTGGATGGGGGGGGGGTGTAGAGGAAAGGGGAGGAGGGGAGGGAGTGGGAACTGGGATTGGTATATGTGAAATGAAAAAAAGATAGTATGTTTTTTTTTAAAAATATAAAAAATACTGGTGCCAACTTTATGGAGATAAGAGTATAAAATGGAGGATGATGGTCACAAAGATATATTTATGTTAAGGCAAGCCTCCCCTAATGTGGATAGAATTCATATGTCCAATGAGATATATAACTTTATAAGTAACATTCATCTTATCCAACTTCTAATGGCCTCCAGGCAGTATGTAAACAAAATTTGCCCTAATAAACCCGGCATCTAACGTTTTTAATCTTTCAAAATTACAATTTATTTTACAGAAAAGTTTTCATTTAAGTGGCAATTTCATTTAAATGAGAATTTCTTATGGCAGGTCAATTATAAATGGATTTTTTCTCTCTATCCTATCTACCCCTCATATTACTTCCCCATTTGCTAGAAAGCAAGGAAATTTGTCTGAAGAAGTAAAAGATTTCTATCAATCATGTATGTATGTAGTGACTTATGGCACATTTGTTTCTGCATGATTGTTGTACCTGTGAAACTGCAAGATACCTGAAATACCCAAAGTCATGTAAATTAAACAGAAGGACTCCAAAAGGAGCAAAGAGCTATTTGCTGGGCTGTGCTCGTTTGCATGTGCTTTCATCAGAGCATGAGTGTAGACTGGCATAAACTCCCCTTTGTCCATCTTATTTCCTTTATGTGTTGTGTTCTGTGCTACCCCTTTATACGACTACTTTCCAGGTTTTATATAATGGAGAAATGATAATGCTCACCAAGAAATGTTCATTATTGTACTTTAAGATTTGTTTTCGCCAGGCAGTGGTGGCACACGCTTTTAATCCCAGCACACAGGAGGCAGAGACAAGTGGATCTCTGGGAGTTCGAGGCCAGCCTGGGCTACAGAGTGAGTTCCAGGACAACTAGGGCCATACAGAGAAACCCTCCCTTAAAAGACCAAAAAAAGTTTTGTTTTCTTTGGTATGTGCTAACTGACAGTAACCACCCAGTAATATAATGTCTTGAGTATGGATTTGGGGAAGTGAGTTGGCTTCATTTTGGGAGAGAGGTCTAATTATATAGCTCAGGCCAGCTTCGAACTCACTGTTGTCCTTCCTCAGCCTCCCACCTGCTGGTGTGATAGGCACACCACCGACACACCAAGCCTCGTGGACTCACCTTTCTTCCAGAATGATGGTTCTATCAAGGGAATTTTGACATTAGAATCACAAGATCCCTTTTCTAAATTTTTTAGAGACTTAGTGGACATCTGGTAGATAAGTAACAATTTATCAAACTTTGTTCTCCTTAATTATCCTGGTCACAGCAGAATGGAATTTTTTTTTTTGGAAATTTTTGTTATATCTAAAGTGGTGGTGGTGATGGTGATGGTGGTGGTTGCTGTTTTTCATTAATTTTAAGAATGTTTTATTCTGGATTTCTCTAGTTGCCTCACATTCTCTCATGGTTGATAAAGGTAAAGACTTCACTATTGAAGCTAAATTTAGAACCTTGCTTTATATAATTAAAATAATTTGTGCATATTTGGCTTATTAAGCACAAATCAACAATTTTCTCTGCTTGGCGCATGAGAGGCACTACAAAGACTGCATCCTGTTAAGTACTCTACTGAATGAGGCTTAGGAAGACCTGCCAATCAGGAAGTCTTAGGTAGTTTGCCGACACTATTTTCCTCTTTAATTTTTCATACCTGACTAGTGGTAAGCAGGTTCTTAGACATTAGACTCATAATTTCCATTAAGCAGACCTTTTTTATTCCATGTAGAGCAAAACTAGATAATATACATTCAAACAAAAGATTTTAAAATATTCTCTTTCCTTATCCCTTCTTTTATCTTGGCACTGTCCCTTTGAAATTAAAGCATCTGTATAAACTAGAACATGGTTAAATTTGAAGTAAGCATTTTATTTTAGAATATTTGAAGTAAGTTCTTCATTTTATATTTAGACTTTATAAATCACTATGAATGATTTACTCTAAACATATATATAATAAGCAGAATTTATAACCATTTAATGATCATGTCACAGAAACCCTAAGTTTTTCTTTTTTTAAACCTTCAACTCAAGAGTCCAGCTCTGAAAATGTTCATACTGCATATGTATTAGCAAAATACTGTGGCATTTCATGCTCACAAAGGAATCATCTGATAAAATGTTTGGTACCCAAAGGGTAAACATGTGATTTTTATGATAGGAAAATCCTGCTCCCTATACATATACAACTCATGCTAAGGGAAAATTATCATATTGGCTTATTAAAAAGAAAATCCCACAAGGCAAACACTAAGAAGGGAAAATCACATTTTGTGCCCATGCCCCAATCCTTGGAGCATCCGATCCTGGTAAAATCAAGTAAAAATTATCTTTAAAGATCTCCTGGGAGTTAGAGAGATGGGTCAATGGTTAAGAGCAGTGACTGCTCCTCCAGAGGACCAGGTTCAATTCCCAGCACCCACATGGTGGCTTATAACTGACTATAACTCCAGTTCCAGGAGATCCAACATTCTCCTTTGACCTCCACAGACACCAGACATGTATGTAGTGCACAGAATACATACAGGCAAAACACTAATACAATAGAAATAAGTAAATTAAAAAAAATCTTGGAGCAAGAAAAAGAACCTTTATAGGTTTTGAGAACTAAGATGGTCAGTGTTAATCAATTTTCTAGTTTTTAAAATTAAACTAAAGTTACTTTTATATTTGACATGATTCATATGTCTCCCCCAAACCTTTTGCACATGATCTGAATAATTATGACTTTGGTTTCATGGCCCTAAGGTGCACAGGAGCAAACATTCCAATCTGTGCCACAAAGGAAGGAGCCCCAGGGGCAGATCGGGGAAGGAAAATAGTGAGACACATATCAACCAATACCTAAAAAGCATGAGGCTTATAGATCGGCAGTCAATAATCTTACTTCCATCAGGAAAAAAAAATGACCAAACTGACCATCTTTATTTTTCAAAACTTCAACCTGGCCTTTCATATTTAAATACATTATATATATAGCTTTGGGAGATAAAAAATATATAGATATAAAACACATGTCACACACATACACGGTGTAGTGTGGTGGTGGTGGCGGTGGCGGCCGTGGTGGTGGTGGTGGTGGTGTGTGTGTCTTTAGAGGTATTAAGATATTCCAGGCAGGCAGGTGAGCACGGTGGGAAAGATTCCTCCTCTCTGGATGTTACATTATGGGATTTTTGCCAGCATTCACATTGTGCAAATGCACTCATCTTCATTAGAAGATTCAAAGACCGCACTGACTTTATTAAGCCTGTTTCTTTTACCTTCTTTGATCCTTTAATATGTATTTGGTTTCTTTACAGATGTAATATTTTTTTACAAATAAAGGCTTAGCATATTCATCTGTGAAAGGAAGATAACATCTTCTCTATCTCAGATCACTATAGTGTTAGTCAAATGGGTTTTGAAATCTGTAACAGTCA